GCCCGCGCGGTTTTTCCCTCTCTTATCATAGCCCCAGCCTTGTGCTTGTTGCACGAGTGGTACCTTTAGCGCACTAATTTGCTTCTCACGCGCTCATCTCTCAAAATCACTGATTTAGTAGATTTCGATGACGCTTAGAAGATTTATAATTAATCATCATCATCATTTATTAAAACCTTGAAGGCCGTCGCGGGCATTACACAAGGTGGGAGTAACTGGTGAAGAAACATTATATAAAGGAACAAACAAAAAAGTGGGTTACATGCTGGAAAACATTGTTATATAAAGAAGCAAAAACAGGAAAAAAAAAACACTTAAAACATTTTTAGGGAAAAACAGCTGATGAAACAGAAAAATACCCAAATAAAACATTTGTATAAATACGAGTTGACTTTGCTATTAGTCAAATGCAGATAGATGGTCAGTTGGGATATGAATGTATTATAAACTGTCTGGGTCACGATACTGTTAGGCAGGCTATTCCAGTCCGTTAGTGTGAATGGCAAGGTGGAGTTAAGAAACGAAACTGACGAGGCGAAAATTAGACGAACTTTACAGACGTTATCATTGCGAGGAAATATGCGAGTGGCTGGGGATAATAGTGAAGTTCTGATGTCATGGTTATGATAGTAAATTTTGTGAAAAAGAGACAGGCGTGATAATTTCCGTCTGGATGAGAGCAGATTAAGGTTAGCTTTCATTCGTAAAGAAGTGATGCTGGTGTCTCGTGAGTAATCTGAAGAAATGAATCTGATTTCGCGATTTTTAAGTGCCTCTAAGTTTGTTATCAATGAATGTTGCCAAGGGGACCAGATGGATGACACGTATTCAAGTTGCGAACTTACCAGTGTAGTGTAGGCTAGTTGTTTAACTGATGATGGTGCTAGTTTCAGATTCCATCGAAGATAGCCAAGAAAGTGGTTAGCCGTGGAAACAGAGCAACAAATTGAACAAAGGACAAGTGAAAGAAATGCATGGACAAAGCGCTGACCGTCAACTAAAGTTTAATTTTCAGGGGAACCAGAAAAATAAACACAGAGCATAGGAAAGAACCAATAAAGACACAAAAAATTATACAACCTAACCGACAGGATTTCAACCACGTCATCACCCTCACACGTGCCTGCCATTTTCCCTGATAAAAAGGACCTCATCATCCCCCATATGCACCGACGGTGCGCTCACACATTCCCCTTCCCCTTTAGATAAAATGAAAAATGCCTCTTCTTTCTGGAGGGGAAGGGGAATGTGTGCCCAACTTGCCCAACTTACCGCCTTGTTCAGCGGTTGGCATTAGACAGGACGTGTGTTGTATGCGTGTTCCATGAGAGATCGTCAGATAAGTGAACACCCAGATATTTGTAAGATGGACACTTGGTAATTACCTGGCTGCACATGGTGTAAGTGAAAGAGAGAGGACTATGGAGCACGCGTGAAGGAAACGAGATTTGTTTTTGAAAAGTTAATTGTCATTTTCCACTGTTTACACCAGTCGGCTATTAGGTTAAGGTCAGCTTGTAGGGTTATATTATCGTTCAGGTTAGATACAGATCGGTAACCATTCGATACGTCCATTTTCACTTATTAAAAAGTTTCTAAACAAGTTTTAGTGAATTATTCGACTTATCGTGACAATTATTCCTCCATATTATGTCCCCTCGGCCGTATAACTCACCTGCAAAAGCCGCATTAGTGTGGCTTTCGAGGCTTGTTTTTTAAACAAATCTGTTAAGCTTAAAAATAAACTCCCCCTGTACGTATAGAACACATTTTGGAGGCCCTGAGATGGGGAACAATAAAATAAACGGACGATGACAACAAAATCTTAACTGTATTCGCCTAAATGTGTTGTATGAAGGCTAGAACCTTTGGGACGTGTGACCAACTGTATTTTTCGGTCACCGAGAAAAGTCTCTGTGCGATATTACTGACAGTTGACATTCACAATCTGTCCAAATCGATAATATGCCTATAGGACGCAACTTGCAATGTCGTATGTATTGATTTTTTTTTTTTTTTTTGCCTTTTAAAACTTTGTGTTTGCATTAACATAACGTTGTTCGCAATTTGGATTGAGCAACCCAAGCGTTATCGGTTCGAGCAAAAAAGAGTGCATTCACCATATACATATTGGTCCCGCGTTTGATTTTGCACTTTATCCTCAGTTATGCGAAGAGGATATGGGTTTCTATAAGCACTATTTTATTCGTGCACGTTGAAATAAGCAACTGGACGCCACTGTCTTCTGACGTATAATTTATATAAGGTTGGGGTTGCACGGAACCAAACCACGTGTAGTTAACTTCACTTTGTTAACTTTTTTTGCGCCGGGATAAATTACTCACTTTCTTCCATACGACAGCAAAAAAAAAAATGAATTGAATAAGGGTAGTAATTTGTTGCCCCTTTAAGCCTCTATTCACCTAAACAAAAACAAAACCATCTCCCACACACATATACAATTTTTTCTTGTTTTTTTGTTAGTACATGTTTAAGGAAAAAAACTCCTACTTGGCAGAACTGCGTTAGCGCGAAATAATTTGTTAAATTTTCCATTGATGAATTCCCCAGCTGGCATTCAACCGACGGCAATTGTCTTGTTTGCAAGCGTTGGCACGGCACGTGTTTGGCGTCTTCGACGAGAGGATATTTCTCTCCGATAAATTAGTGGGAGTCCGACCACAGGAACGCGGTACACAAAAGCTCATTTAATCTCTTTAGAAAGTTCGACGTCGCGGGTAGAATGGGTTGCTCGCGAGTTTCTTAGAATTCAAGTGCGTGAGAGGGTCATACATTACTATCGCACAATTTGCTACGCGAGTTTGTTTGAAAGAAGAAACATGAAACTTAATGCACGTGGGAGCGTGTTCCCGCGACGTGTTCGAGGATGTTAAATTACTTCTGGGTGCCATTATCATTCGAACCAGGCCAACCTCCGCCGTGGCGAAGCTGTGTCGTGCTTGCGGGACCATATTAAGGTATTTCGAAAATCTATCGTCACAATTCGTGGAACACATCGCTATGCACATCTTCGTTAGTAAACATATAGTACACATGTGACAAATGCGTGCGACGTTTAACGAGTTTAATAAAAAAAAACACGTGTAACATACCTGACTTTATATTACGTCCGACCTCAGCAAACGCGCTACAATTTAATGGAGAAAATCGAGTAGTTCTAAAAGTGTATCATCACGGCCATCGTCTTTTTTTTGTGTTGAAATGACGGGCTAAACCAATTACGCCCAGTGAATGCGTCGTAATCCTGCATTTTTGTTTGTACGTGTTTTTTTTTTGTCGTTGTTGGTGATAGCGAACACACAAATAGGAGGAGTGATATGACAAAACGGTTTTGGCGCAGCTTACGTTATTCGATCGAATCGTAGCCTTGGTTGGGGTCGGACGAAATGTGAAACGCGGCAGATAGTTACACCGACAACTTAAGAAACGAAGGGCGTGGCGAGTCTCGAGCCCCACATCGACCCTTGATGTAAAATAAACTATTGATTGATTGATTGATTAACTCGTTTATTTATTTATTTATTTATTGATCAATATTATCGCCCCGCAGTTGATGAGATCCCGACGTCAGCCGGTAAGAACGCCACTGGACGAATCGAATCATGTTCTTGATTACACGAGTAATCAGGAACGTATAACGGTCAAGTCTTGCGTTTCTTAGGTTCTCGGTTATTATATTACACTGTACGAAACCAAGACTCCGTCTAAATATCACCCGAGTAATTATAATTAAATTCACTTCAATTCCAATGCTTATGAATTTTTTTGTTTTTTTTTTCTCATAAAGAGTTTAGGATTTGTAAATGATGTCCATAAAGGTTATTCATACACAGCAGTTGCCAACGGTTAGACTTTGTAAGTCGGGATTTAATATTTTTAACCTTTTTTTTACTTATGTAATTATTCGGAATTACAAAAGTCTGTTTATGAAGTAGCAAAATCCATACAAGTAAACTAAAAAGAAGTGCTCCTTAATAGTATATTCAAAATAGGCAAATCCCAAGCTCACCTAAAAATAGTGCAGTTCATAAGGTTATGAAACAGACGAGGTAAAAATGTGAGATCACTTTCACGGCGCTTTTTTTTTCTATGGCACGTATTAATGACATAATTAAACTTTCAATATTGCATAAATGACGGATAAAAGAGACCGTGCTCGTACGACGTATTTTTCAACTAGATTAGAATGAGAAATTCTTTTTTGCGAGGTCGTAGTTTCCTGCTTCACTCGAAGGCATGGAGATGTATACAGTTTGCATCAATAAACGAACACCAACTGCTGAATTGTAATTTCTAAAAAAAAGTTGTATAGATATTTACGAGCTATGACTATTAAATGCTGGAACAGTGTAATCGATTTTGTTTTAATGATGTTGAAATTTTGCAAAAAAACACGTTTCGTTTTTGTTTTTTTCAGATATACTCTAGGTATAACTTTTAATTATAAGGCTCCAGCCTCATGGGGACTATTTAAAATAGTCACCGTTTTGTGTTTTCTTTCATTGCTGAACAGATACCATGACAGTTCTTCTGAGCTGTCAGTAAATGGGGAATCTTGAAAACTAGTTTAAATTTTAAAACTGCATACTATTTCGCATTATGATATGAGCCTTTCCTTCATTACCACAAAAGCTGTAGCACGGTCGTCAAAGCGAAACATTCTCATAAACTTGAATTACAGTTCAAAGAGCAAGAACAAGTCCCGTATGCTAGAGAAGAATAGAGTGGATTCCCCCAAGCTATTCGAATTTTTATCACTTAAGTGAATTCAGAATCCTAAAGTCTCCAAAATATTTATGAACCATTATTATAAATTAATAAAACGTTACTATGCTCGCCAACATTGCTACTTTTGCGCCTTGCAAATCTTTACATTGGCCTGAAGAACCAAATGACTTGCGAATGTACACTAGTTCTTTTTTTTTAATATTATTGTTAAAGATATGATAACTTAACAGCACTATAGCGACCACTCTTTGTTATTGTGACGAAAAAGTTTATTCCTTCGTTTATATACACTTCCGTTCTGATTCCTTCAAAGTTGCAACCAAGCGGCTTTAGTGCGCCTAGTGTTCCTTGCTTTGGTCTTGGTCTTTGTCGTCACCTGAAAAATAAAACAACAAATGGTTTAATCTTTGGTACAATGATTCAAAACCTTAATGTATTGTTTTTCGACGAATTGGAATGTACCGGTAAGTTACAGGAATAAAAGGAAAGCGACATAAAAAATAGTGTTTTCCCCTTGCTTCGAACTTCCTATCGTTTTCGTTTTATGCTTGTATATATTTATGTAAAATTCTTTCGTCACTTCATGTGGGAAAATTCAATAATATCAGGCCCAGTTAAAGATTATATTCTTTAGAAAATCGGATTGGCGCGTTATGAGTCCCGTAGCAACATTTTGAAAAGTACTAATCGGGTCGGTCATTATCAAATCATGAGCTTAAATTATGATCCTCCGTTATCTTACGTTAGCACGAATTACCAACTTTATCCCTACACAAAGAGGCCCCGAAGACACCATCAATAGACGCAATGCAGGATGTACGCACCGCTCATTTAATAGCCAACGCCATGACCGACGCCGAAACCCTGAGTGCCGAAGCCCTGAGAGCCGTAGGAGCCCTGGGATCCAGCGGCACCGCCCTTGAAGCCCGCGGAGCCCTGGCCGAAGCCCGATCCGTACTGGTTGTTGCTGGACGAAGAGAATCCCTGGCTGTTGCGGTGTCCCGCCGAGTTGCTGTAGCCCTGCACGTTCTTGTACTGGTTTCCGGAGTCGAAGCCGCCGCTGCCTTGCTTGTGCCCAGCGGCTCCGGCCTGGAAGCCGCCCTGAGACGCGCCGGCCTGGTGTCCGTAGCCTGCTCCGAAGCCACCAACGCCGCCACCGTAGCCACCACCGTAGCCACCACCGAAGCCAGGGCCGACGCCCCCGCCGACCAGGCCGGGACCTCCGAGGCCTCCGCCGAGTAGAGCCCCACGACCTTCCACCTCCGTCTCACCGGGGTAGGCCAAGCAGGCGCTCACGCCCAACAGCACAAGGGTCTGCGAATGAAAAGGCGTTGGGCGACATGGTAATGGGAGAACAGGAAGCTCTGTCTTTGGTCGGATTAGAGGGTACAACAGGAGAACACCCTCGTAATTGCTATCACCACCATTCTTGCCACTGGCATCTCGAAAAACCCTAACACGGTGAGTGATTTAGCTCGACAATGGTTTGATGACACAGATGAACAGGGTAACACTGGCAAGTCTGGTGCCTCTCTTGTAAACGCTAAAGACTATAAAACGCAAAGCAGTGCTAAATAAAGACCAGGGACACAATTAATATTGTATACATAGAAAGCGTGGCGCCTTTTATGTGAATCCTGTTCGTTGTGTCCTTTATTATTTTAGCCCTGTTTTACCCTTTTTATATTTAGGTACCAAGTAACCCAATTTATTGCCTTTTGGGGGAAAAAATGAGATCGTGTGAATCTCGACCAGCTTTTCTTGTTTTGTTTTTTCTCTCGTGTTATTTTTGGCGTCATTCCCTATTTTTCAGTTCTTACGCTATGGATCTAAACAACTTTGCCTGCTTTACAGCTTTGTTTGTCTGAGGGAATGATCAAATGACATAAGGCACAGCAACTGGTTGCCAATCCTCTGGAATTTTGGTATGTCCTCTGTGTACAGGTTTACTTGATGACACCAAATGTATTATCAGAGATCAATGCAGAATAGCTTTTTTTGAGTGACGTCAAACAACCAGCTCGCGATGCATGATTGGGTGGTTCCATTAAACCTAGCATCTGATCATCCTCAGGTTATTTTTTCTTATATTTTTAAAATTGTCATCATTATATTCTAAACCAGGCACCCGAACAAGGCAGAGTTTTAAGGCGGAAAAATATGTTTAAGCAAGTGTTGCTTGGTCGCTTGCTACGTATTAAAACTAAAGATAAGAAAATTAAAGTTGAAAGATTTAGAAGGGGTCGTAACTCACCAGCTTCAGCATTGTAAAATAGCTTCTGTCTCGAAGAGACTTAAAGATGCTCTGAAAGTTAGAAAAACTGGTGGTTTGGGACACGGGAAAAAGGCTTTTTATACCAAAACGTTGGCACTATCGCGGACCGCTATGAAAAGACTTCCTGTGTCGTCAGTGCTGGCTCCTCCCGATCTTCATCCTGTCAGATTTCCAAAAGGATGCGGTAGCAGGTGCACTATCTCGCAAGCGGTGTCGGACGCCTGTCTTCCTACGGAACAACTCCTACTACTCAACTTGAAACAAGGAAATGGGAGTTTTTTTGTTTTTTTTTTCTTTTTTGCATTCCTTATCATCTAAATACGGGTTGCTAAAGCCAAATACAGCAGTTTGCATCTAGTTATTTTCAAAACGTCAAAACTAACAATATGAAGCGACGGTGTCATCCAATAGATCCACTTCTCTGACACATGATCTCGTTTTTCATTCAATTTTACTCTGATGTGCTCTTTTCAACAGATAACTTAGGTCGGCTTTTTTTCGCACTCTACCGGTCGTCGTCTTGGTTGCTTGCAGATCGCCGCCGCGAGCTCGCCTACTGTATCATCGTCTAACTTCCGGCGTACCACCACATTCGTGTTTCTTCTCTTTTTCTTTTTAATTCTGATCGACCACGAGGTTAAAAAGGAGGAATTATTAGCCAAAAACAATGCCCTCTAGTCGGAAACTCGGCATCTCGCTTCTCTAAATATCTTATCACTGCAAAAACTGCGTCACGTACTTTGGTCTACACTCTAAGAAATCCGGTGCGTCTACGTTCTCCTCAAAGTGCTTTGAAGAGCCAATTGCTACAACTTCCATAGCAAGCCGACAAACGACGGAACTGAAAAAAAAAAAATGTTAAGTCCTAACAACAAATAAAAAAAAAACGGATTCCTTCGTGACATCCAGCATGATGTTTCACGTGCTTACGCCATCATGCACTGTGACACAGCGCTGACTGGTTTTCTTTAGCTTTAAGCGTATTTTCCGCCTTGTCATTTGCAGAACTCACCCCGAAGATACCCTTCAAGAAATTCCTGCGCGTCTACTTCCCCGCAGAACACTCAAAGAACAAATCTCTGCGATGTACGAAATCAGCTCAGCGAATGATGAGGCGGAGCATGCGTTTAGACCTAAAAATGAAGTCTGCGCTGTGTCATTACGCAATGGAAAGCGTCATGTTTGCATCACGTAATGCCTCAGCACGGGCTTAATTTCAAGGGCTGAACATATGTTCCGCCTCATTATTCGCTGAGCTGATTTCGTAGATGGCAAATATTGGCCCTTCGAGCGTTTTGTAGGTAAGTAGACGCGCAGGCATTTCTTAGAGTGTATTGCTCGCCACAGTGCTTAGTAAGAAACTAAATGCGCCGAATTTCTCAAAGTTCATAGTGTCCCAGCCAATTTTTTTTTAATTCATAAACTCGCTTAGTTATACTTGCGAAAGTCCCTATAGCTTGTGAAGACGTAAGAAACGAAAGACATTGTTTATTATCGTTAATAATTTCGCTTCGTGATTCGTTCTTCGACATTCTTATTGGCTGCTCTTATTGGCTGAGGTGCGATAATTATATGCGTGTGGCTAGCCAGGCCCAGTGTCTCTTAAAGGAACACTGAAGTGAAAAAAAAAATAGATTTTTTTGAATGGGTTAAAAATTGTTTGTACATTTTTCTACTAAAACTTTTTTATTCATATTTACGCCGTTAGACGCACTTTAGGAGGGGTAGCCATGCTCTAGGCCTCGCCCGGTGCTTACAAAACTAAACGCCCTTTTCTCGGCCCTCATTGAATGTAGAGATGATTGACGTGTAAAATGCTGGTCCTAAAATTGTTTCTCTGTACCGTAATAGTATTTTAATAGATATCATTTTTATGCTTGAGAAACAAACAATACAGATAGAGTCATTATGGTATTTAAAAAATCCCGAGATTGCGTTTCTGCCTCAGTTTCAAACGATAACACACGTGGCTGCCTGCGTTTGCGGAGTGAACAACCGGAGCAGTTCGTCTAGCTTGTCTAATGAGTGCGAGTTGTTTTGCGTCCACCGAGGTGTTTAGACGAAGATCTCCTCAACCGATCTAGTCCGCAGCAAACTGTCGAAAGTACACGCCTTCCGAAGCGCTGTTGGCGCTATGCGGGTGCTTGGGTTCGTAGCGGGCGATAGCGCGACTGGACTAAGCCTTCCGTCCCACTTTAACTATGTTGGTTGATTTGGCTTGATTTGTTCCTCTGCGTGTGTTGACGTTGAAGGAAGATATTGTTTCCCATATATAGAGTGACCACGCTGCTCTGTGAATTGTGCGACCGCTGGGATTGCAACCATGGTTTCAATACCGAGAAGATGCCTACACGGGTAAGAATTTTCAAGCGATTCTTGAGGCAATCGGGCGTCCGGCTCGCCTCACGTTTGTCCAGGTTTGTTCCTGTTATTTAGTTTTCAAAGGAAAGTGTCTCTACGTTTTGCAGTGCACCTGGCCTGCCAAGAGGAATATGTTTAGGTTTCATTTTAGTTGTGTGTTATGACGCTCACCAACCTTGCTCACGGATGCCATGAGAAAAGAAAAAGAAATAGCAAGAACGGAAAAGCTGAAGGCCTACATATTTATTTTGTTTAATTTTGTTTAGTCCTCTTGGTTGCTTTTACTGCACTTTGACAGTCGGTGACATACGCTTGGACCGTGGTTCGTGCCATAGCCTCCTATATACTGACAAAGCCGAACAGATCGCCACGAGAAGCGGCCGCCGAAATGGAAAAGGGGGAGCGGCAGACAACCGATGAGAGGTTGGATGGATGGATGGATGAATCCGGCTGAGCCCTTTAGATCGGGCTCTAGCTTACGCCACCTAGCCATTTTGTTTTACTATTCAAGCTTAGAATATTTAAATGTGAAAACTATATTGACTCCACGCTGAAAAGAAAGTGAGGCTATAAAGCCCCCTTGCCATCAGTTAATAAGAAAATACCTAGTTTTCTCTCGCTTTCTGCCACCATTCAATTTAATCTTTGCTTGGTAATCTCTACTGCCTTGAAATCCACTTTTCCTTCGCTGTTTCTAAAACCCAATGACTTTATTAAACCTATGTTGTCTTCAGTAGGCATAGGACGAAGCCCCTTGCAGTAGAGTATCAAGTGCTCAGCCGTCTCGTCCTCCTCTCCACAAGCAGCGTACACCGTATCCATTTCCTGGTACTTCGCTCTGTATGTTCTGGTTCGCAAAACACCTGTCCTTGCCTCAAACAACAATGAGCTTCCCCTAGAATTGTCATAAATGCTTTCTTTGGCAATAACTGTTTTGTTTAATCTATAGCTTTCCAGAGCCGTCTTTGTGTGCATTCCTTCTAGCCACCGATCTCTTTCTGTGGTCTTAACTTTCTTCTTAACTGAGACCTGCTCTTCCGTAACTCCACTATAGCCTAAAAACTTTCCTCTTAATTTCCTAGTGCGCTGTCTCCACTTTGTGTCTATACTCCCCATGTATAAATAGCTGAAAACATTTCGTGTCCATTGCTCCCCATCCATTTGCCTCAACCGATCCTCACATTCTATCTTGCTCACAGCTTCCCTGCCCTCAAATGACGCCCATCCCATGTCTCCTTGTACTCCCTGGTTTGGCGTTTTGCAATGTGCCCCCAAAGCCAGCCTACCTACTCCACGCTGTTTTATATCTAGTCTTGCATGCGCATCGGATTTCATGCATAGCACTGCGTTTCCAAAAGTCAAGCCAGGCACCATGACCCCTTTCCAAATCTCTCTCACCACCACATACCTGTTGTAAGGAGAGCCACGTGACTTGCGCCCCCCTGCGGCGATACGCCGAAACACACTTCTCCCGAGCGAACAAGTGTATCTCGGGTCTTCGCCGCTGCAAAAGCTGTGCGCTGACGTCCAGGTTCCCAGAGAAATGGCTCTTTGATGCTCTGCGCTACCTTATCCTCACGCTTCAAATCTGCTACCGGCCACTCTGGCTCCGTCGTCGAACTGCCAGGCTTTGTGAATATATATGAGGCTATACTCGTGGATGATGTAACGTCGAAACGCCACTTTCATGGTCGCGTTTTGCAAGCGTTACAGACGTTTTTAGACGGGGGCGGAATAGCAGACGGACGAAGGCGAAAACGGACTCCGACGCGCAGCTTTCATGTCCGCGTCTGTGCATGGCAGACGACGATAGACGGTGGTGTGGAATAGCAGACGATGCCGGAGGCTGCCACTCGCCTGCTCGCATGCTAGCAAGTGGTGTCAGATTTCCAGACAACGTTACTAGATTAACTCACCTGTAAAACTCCAACGAAAGGGGGTGGCCCCCTCACCCAATTCAGTCCGCCTCCCGTCGTGTGAAGCGCCATCTAGATTTTCGTTTCATAACTGTGTATTTCATAGAGTACGGTGGAACGCCAGCTAGACGATGTGCTTCGAAACGAAGCCGTTCGGCGCGTCGAACAACGGGAGGTGAGTCGCGGTGAGTGAGGGGGGCGGAGGGAGGGGGAGGGGGCACTGCTTGTGCAAGCAGCGTCTATGAGCCTTTCTGTAACTGAGCTAATCTAACAACGTTGCTTCCAGACTAGACACATCGGATGTCGGGAAAGTAGAAATAATAGGCTTCCGAGCATGTTCGGTCGAGCAGCTAAGCCAATCAAGTAGTAATGGTCAGTGCCACTGATCTGTGGGCGGGGCTTAGAACGAGACGTGGCCTCGCGCTAAATTACGTCTAACGGTGTAAATATTGCACCAAAACGTTTTTTTCGTGCAAACATTATTAAAAAAAAAACGTGTCCCAGTTATGCCCTTTAAAAAACCTTTTTTGTTCACTTCGGTGTCCCTTTAAGCAGCCTGCGATCGTAATATAAATTTACAAGTACACTCTCTTCCTTACCTGCTTCGTAACTAAGCGCCGTTGGGAGAGTAATCTTTCGGATCGTTCAATACACCTTCCACCACCTTGCCACACTTTAAAAAAATATTTATATAGAAAAACGCTTACGACATGGATACATTTTTTCATGACTCAGCCAAGCTGGTGTGTCCTTCTTTGTTGACGGTTTGCAAAAGGTGATGGGGCTCGCGGGAAGAAATCTCTGTTTTATTATCAGTGGTAGGTCTAAATAGAAGGCAGACAAGTTTAGGGTTAAAATCCTAAGTTAAAAAAATCTATATTGTCAGGGTGTTTTGCTCGTTCTCTTTTATTTTTCCACAGGCTTATGCTTAAGAGATTACATGATGCGGACCTACCCGCAGAAAAAGTCACTAAAAGCATATTTTGCATCCCAGCTTGTATGTTGTCGAATAAGTTCACACATGAATAAACAACCTATTAGTATACTACTATAAATTGGTATTCAAAACAGCAGCTTTCGAAACACAATAAGAATATAGACTGCATTTTTGAAGTGAAAGCGTAGCTACCTACCTTTTAATCTAGCTGGTTCCTTTTTTATACTGCGAAAAGGTTGAATGCTTCTTTCTAGCGCTATAATAACCCGATCATTGTTTAAACCCCATGCACCAGAGGTTTGCCTCAGTGCAGACAGGCGCACTGAAAAATTGGACCCCGTAACTTCAAGTCAATAAAAATTAAAGATTGATTTTCTCAATTAATATGAATTAAAGGCCAAAGTCCGCCTTTGGTAGCAGACTAAAGTCAACTACTTGACACCGCAACTGATAGATGGCGCGAGCTTTCACTTTCTGTTCGAGGTTGGTTTACTCACGGACGCGCCTGCGTGTGAAAGTTAAGGGGCGGCGCAAAACTATTCAGTAGGAATATTTTTCATTCTGCACAAGCTTAATGGGACTAGTGGGACTCAAGTATACTCGCACAAAACACTACTGACCAAGAAACCTCTTTGTTACGACATAACTTTGGGGGGTTGTGTCTATGTTTATACAGCCTAGAACTTAGTCTGCCTCTACGGGCGACTTGGGGTCTTTAACGTGCACCACGCAGTAGGGATACACGACCGCACGCCGGTTCGATGCTCATCCAGATCGAAACGGGCAGGGTGCGGATTGAACCCAGGAACCTGGGTTCTGCAGCCCGAGCTTCCGCTCCACGTGCTCCGAGCTGGTGTGCGCTAAGGTGCCACTAAATAAGCTACGCCTCAGAGTAACGGCCCTCGGACATATTGTGTCTTAAAATCATGCTTGTCAGTTATCTGAAGCTTTATCTGAAATCACCGGAAACGCTTTTCCGCACTCCACAAATGTTTAAACAGTTCGCGACAGAGCAAATCAATATTACATGTCCTAAACCGAATATAATGCTGAGACAGTCGTATTTTTGAATCATGACGATCGGCAGTTGCGTCTGCTTTGCATACGAGCCAAAATTGCGGTGCACACAACAATGTCGGGGAACGGAGTGCCGATACTCTAAGCGCAGCTCATTTAGTGGCTATACGCTAGACCACTTAAAGGGCCCATGAAACGAATTTTGGGATGGGATAAATTATTTTAAATTGGAACTTTACTAATCGCATATCGTTTAGTCAGCCAAAAGAAAGAGGGTAGAAAGTCAAAAGCCTTTTCGGTACGAACATTTGAACATATAGCGGACTATTTTGTACCTCCTTTCCTTCGAAAGCTCTCCGCCTTTTCACTATGAAACATCCGCAGTTCCAAAAGCGCGTCAGCGGTGGCAAACTGACGTCATCCGAGCCCAGCTCACGCATTGGACACAAGAACTGCGTCACTCGGACGTATCCGCTCGTCAACAATAAATCCGTCGACGAATATTCGGATTCGCGTTCGTGGCCAATGAGTGCCCTGATGGAACTTATCGTCACTGGGGAATGACAAGTTCTATGGTGTGCATAAAAAGCACGGTGGAAGCTAAGAGTCATCGCACCGGTGCCGAAGAATGTCACGACGACGTGATTTCACAATTCGCGTTTGAGTTGAGGATTAAAGCTAAGGAGGAAGAAGTAGAAAAATCGTTTCATGACCCCTTTAAAGCCCTTTCATGTTTGAAAAGTAGCGCAAGGCGCGCCGATGCACGAGGCACGTGCAACGTGCAGCTTTTGGGAAGATCATGGCGGTACAGCGCAGTACTGAGCTAGATTTCAGACGCCACGTCCTTCCCAGAAGTGGCGCGTGGCACGTGTCTGGAGCATTTCCACAACAATGAATGGTGCCACTTTTCCCAGGATAGAGGGGCTTTAAGACCACTCACCCACCGATCCCCCTGCCGTAATTTCAATGTTCAATCATAATTCAATAATAATAATAATAATTGAATAATAATTCAATAATAATAGTACCTAATTCAATCGTAATTTCTAGAACAAAAGAGTGCGTTTTATCTCAATCTCTCCTTCGGAAAACTTGATGGCGTAGCTTGTAGGTCGGGCACTGTTCCCTAATGACGATATTTTGAAAGCGGCTCATAGACATGACCCGAGCATCGCGTGAGCACTCGATTTGGGCTCGCGATAGTCAATAGCTCGATAACCCTTCGAGCACTGTCTCGTGTCCAATCACTGCTATGACGACAATAGGCAAACACTATACAATGTCTGGAACTCGGAGCTCGTTCTATGCTTTGCCAACCCCAACGCGTGCCTATGATAAATATGGGCAGCATTTCATCGGCTCCAGATCACGTATGGTCGCTTATTCTTACTGCGATTTGAGGTGAAGGAACGCTGCTAGCTTTCCTATATATCTATATTGTGACAACCATTGCACGAAGCAAAAAATAATCTAACGCGTGGGTAATAAGTTATAAACGTCAGGGATAAATTCTGAGGGTTATTTGCGCAGAGTACAAAACTTGTTGCCCCGCCTTTTTAAAGCCTGCAGCGTATATGTACATACTCCACCTCACGTTGAGTCTTCCGCAGCCAACGCTACGATTCAACGGTTTCAATCAAGAAACGCACAAAATTGCGTCGTCACGGCGCTCACGGCTTTTATGTGCGTTTGCTATATCACCGGCTAAAACAATCACACACAGAAAAAAAAAACGCAGGATCACCCCACGTTCACTGTGCGTGAGTGGTTTAGTGAGGGATGGGAAACGCGCGAAGACGATGAGCACTGTGACGATACAAGTATGGCTCTATACCTGAATGGCTTAATCGTATTGTAGCGTTGGCTGCAGTAAGACCTCATGTGGAACTGAACGAATATCTGTCGTATTTTCAAATAACCGCCATTCATCCGCTTCCTCTGTGAAAAGTTTTTTTTTGCGATTAAATATCTTTAAAAAAATAAAGAAGGAAAGTATATTCAATGCTTTTATTCGGGTATTATAGTGGCCTGAAGCTTTTGCGTCCTGTCCGCAGCTTCAGATAAATTTTCAGTGCACTGCAATATCCGCGGATGGCGGATGGTGCTTTTACTTTCATTTCTCACTGCAGAAGGTTCTTTTTTTATGATCTCTTATGCTGGCTTGGCGCACCTTTAGCTTTCCCTGTAACACAGTGTGAGCAACCTATTCACTTGGTGGTTTAGGTCTCTCAAAGCTAGAGACCCTTTTAATAAAATGTGCCACAATGAGGCGCTGTTGTATCTTGCATCCGCACGAACTTCCGGTCAGATCGGAGGAGAAGCAAGTTCCACCATGAAACCGCTCTTTGCAACGTCCATAAAATATTTTATAACCCATAGTGCTTAGCTAAAATATCGGTTAGCGAAAGACGTTTCAGAGCTTTGGATACTCACATACAACAGCCAGCCGATCACCTATATTATGTTTATAACACTGAAGAAAAATCTTGCTAAATCTACACCTTTGTCGTTTCTGGAGAAGTTAAACGTCATAGAAATTGCGCCAAAAACAAGCTCGGAGCACTTACTGGAGAAAACTCACCGGAAGTCGTATCGCCTGCAAGAGACGGCTTGGATTTGTTAGCATAAAAAGTGTCTATATCTTGCTTTAACTGGATAATGTTGAATTAATTCTGTATGTGCTGTTAACTCACCCCTGCAGTTTTGCATCTTCGAATTGTCCATCGACTGAGTTATTAACCTTAACACGTAAGCCTTTTGTTCTCTTGGTTTTGTTTGAAGGGAAAAATATTTATTTGAGGTGTTAGAGGCACCGCTGTGTGACGCCTAATAAAATGTGTTTTTGAACTACCACTCCGTAACCGATATTAATCACGATATTTTTCCATAAAAGTATTTATTAACGAGTGTATACATGTACACTCCCATCTTTATTTTTTCGAAACGTGTCCCATGTCGTTTTAGGTGCTTCTTTGGATTTGTGACTTGATTCCGCCGTTGTCTAGACCGCTTCCTGAAAAACGACAAAAGCAGAGTGTAAAAGAAATGAATGAAACGCGCTCACGATTGCCTATATTTATTTATTTTATTATAAAATGGACATTGCCTGTTTAGCAAAGAATACAAATGCCCAAAATACCATTATCCACAGCGCCAATGTTCTCACCGAAATACATTATTTAAGTTTGTTCAAACGTTTTAACACATTACGATTATTGTAAAATCAAAATTAACAATTACATAACTGTAACACTTGTTCCTAAGGCTACATGCTAAAAAGTCGCACACAAAACCAAAAATAATCTCACCATCCATTTAGTAACCAACGCCGTGACCGACACCGAAACCCTGAGTGCCGAAACCCTGAGAGCCGTAGGAGCCCTGGGATCCAGCGGCACCGCCCTTGTAGCCCGCGGAGCCCTGGCCAAAGCCCGTTCCATACTGGTTGCTGCTGGACGAAGAGAATCCCTTGTTGTCGTTGTGTCCTGCTGAGTTGCTGTAGCTCTGCACGTTGCTGTATTCATTTCCGGACGCGAAGCCACCGCTGCCCTGCTTGTTTCCAGCGGCGCCGGCCTGGAAGCCACCCTGAGATGCACCGGCCTGGTGTCCGTAGCCGGCTCCGAAGCCACCAACGCCGCCGCCGTAGCCGCCACCGTAGCCGCCGCCGTAGCCGCCACCGTAGCCACCACCAAAGCCAGGGCCAACGCCTCCACCGACAAGACCAGGGCCAACACCTCCACCGACAAGGCCAGGGCCAATGCCTCCACCGACAAGGCCAGGACCTCCGACGCCTCCTCCGAGAAGACCTCCACGGGCCTCGACCTCTGTCTCGTCGGGGTAGGCCAAGCAGGCGCTCACTCCCAACAGCACCAGAGTCTGCAGAAGGCAAGGCATTGGGTGATATGTTCATGGGGAACAGGGAGCTGTGAGTTTGTTTGCAGCAGAATCTACAACGATAGAACAGCCTCGTAATCGCGCCTATACCCGCAATCAAGTCCCTGGCTTCTTGAGAAACCCTGGCGTGGAGAGTGAGTGAGTGAGCTGGTAGTTTGAGAACTCTTGAAACAAGCTCGGATTCACAACGAAGCTCATGAAAATAAGGCGCTTCTACTGTAAACAGTCAGGATAACACGAGAATACTTTTAAAAGTAATAAAACTTTTTTTTAAATTCATAATTTTCCGGCTTTGCTGCCTCTGAAAATTTTTTTTTCAAGGTTTCTTTTTTTACAATTAACACGCACTAAGTTTTAATATCTAAAAAATGTCAAATAATTGTTGAAAAACAATTTGCGAAATTACTTTCAGTGTTGCATCCATAACTTTCTTCACTTCGACGTAGGAAGAGATAAATGCCCAGAACTGAGGGGGCAAAAGGTCCGAGCTATTGAGCAGGAGATGGAACAATAGGAGGCACTCTATCGGACTTGTTGTCCCCTGTGTTTAATAACACAGCAGAGCAAAGAAATGTAACCTCGCCTAGCACGGCCTCGGCACAAGCGCATCGCTCTGACCTGTGCTTTAAGGCCCGTTCACACTCTTGCAGCCGAGTACGACCGAGAGAGACCGAGACTTGTTAAAACCTCTTAAAATTTCTTAGGACGAGAGAACACACTGGCACGCTGGCGCCATCTATGCGGTGACCCTGGAACTGCATTTCACAAGAGCGAAGGTTTCGCGGTACTTCCGAGGTCAAATGTGCTTTATACCTACAAGAAAGGCTTGTTAATAACGTTGACAAATGTTTTTCGAGCCAAGAAAGAAAGGATAATGCTCGAGAGAAATAGAAAATATGTCGGACCGCCAAGTTTACACTGCTACCCAATAGATGGCGCCGGTGTATCCTCTCGTTGTGAAAGGTTTTAAGGAACCCCGTTTTAAGATGTCGCAAGAGTGTGAACGGACGTTTAGTCGCTCAAGGAGCAGGCTTCGAATCGTCATCTTGAATTTCTCGGATCAAAAACAAACAAGAAAATACGGTTTCTTGTCTTCACAGCTGAAGCGTTCCGCCAGAGGCGTGGCTGTTTGATCTCCTCCCAAATATGATGAGTGTTAAAGTGCAGTTATCATTTATAAAGATTAGCGCAAAAGTTAATCATGCAGCTCTGCCATAGTGTCACAAGCACGTCTTCGTCATCCGCCATGACGACACGTAGGAAGTTCCTTCCGTCGCAGCGACAGAACGCTAAAGACACTGACAATAAAACTACAGGTTCAGACATGCTGCTGTATTACCTTTATAAACACCAGCAAAACATTGCCCGACTGGCTCCATGCAAGAAAAATAACGGAAGCCATCTCAGTACTCCTTAGATTGATGCACATATTGTTGGAGAAAATTAGAAAGCAGAGCTGTAATTTTTTTTTTGTTACTTCTGGCCTTTTTTTTTTTTTTTTGATTCCCCTTTTTGCATTTAAACAACATTGTCTGCCTTCGAGACGTCCTGCCTGTCTGAGGTTAAGTTAAAACTACACAAAGAATACTAGATAGTTTCCAATCTTCTGTTCGTGTTCTTGTTGTTATTGTCGTTGTTTTTATCTTTGATTCACATATTTTGTTATGAATATGAAATGATACCAGAGATAAAAAATAAACACCTTTTCGCAAGATGCCGAAACAACCAGCTTCGAATGCATGTTGAAACGGTTTGACCAAACGTAGCCTGTGGCCGCCGTCCTAAGCTTTGTTCTTTATTATATAACTACAATCGCTATTTTCATGCATTGGGCCAGTCGCGCGAAGAAAGCAGAGATCCTTGGGCAGAAACATACATGTAAACAACTTTTGCTTGGTTGTATGTGAAATATGCAAGATTATGACTAAGAAAATTTAAGTTAAAGAGTTCAAAAAGAGTTGCAACTTACCAGCTTCAACATCACGAAATAGCTTTGGTCTCGAAGGGACTTACAGAGGTTACGAAACTCAGGAAAACTGTCGGTTTGGGGGCGGAAAGGCGGAGTTTTATAGAAAAACGTCGGCACTATCGGAACCTCTATGAACATATTTCCTATGACGTCACTGAAGGCTCCTCCCGATCTTCATCCTGTTTGACTTCCAAAAGGATACGGTAGCAGGTGCGCTATCTCGCAGGCGGTGTCGGACGCCTGTCTTCCTACGGAATCGCCTTGCACGTAAAGAAACGAGGCCTACTTGAAACCGGGTTACGAAATGTTTTTCTTTGCATATCTGCTGTCCCAAATGCTCGTGGTCATTTTGGAAGTTACAACACTCAGACAATGGTCCGGTAGGAATATAAAATAAAGTTGCGGTGCAATCGCTCGACTGTTCTAACACATAATCGCATATTCTACTCTACTCTACTAATTGGAAGTCGGCTTTTGTTTTGTGCTCTAGAGTTCACCGTCTTCGGTGCTTACAAATCGCCGTCGCAAGCTCACGGATATACATAGATTATAATATAGCTTCTGGCATACATCACATTTTTCTGGTCTAAGCTCGAGTACACATCGGTCACATGGAATCGATATATTTACAGAAGACATTCACTGGCAGGGGTCATTGAAATAAAGGCAGTTCGATTTGTTTTTAGCAAGTATTGAAGACTAGACTCGCCCGGTACATAAGTTTGTGACAGACAACCAAACTTCGTCCCCAAAGATGCGAAGGGATATGAGCCGGATATTATTTTCTCAGGCTCATAACAAACTGTCACAGGACGTTAACGCATTTTAACCCAGGTCGCTTATATCATTATTCTCGAGTAGACGCGTGACTCAAGGGGTGTTCCAACCAAATTTCATCCTCTCGCCATATCTTAAGGGAACTCATTTCAGTTAGCTCTTTTAGTCACCTACTCTTAATCAAGCAATTTAAGGGTATTTCACATTTCTTTCGTGCAGTATTATTGATTTCCATAGTTACCGGAGACAGGGAACGATAAAAAAAAAAAAAAAAACGGACAAAACAACAACGATTTTCAACCAACTTGCAGAGTATTAAGAGACTGTACGCTTCCACAGACCACGATGGCAGTGACGATAAAAACAGCGACGAACACACTTCTATGCCTGCATCGGGAATAATCATAGAAGAAAGAATAAAAACACAGGCGAGCTAGTAAAGTTCCCTTGTGTTTTTACCCTTTCTTCGAGTGTTATTGACATTTTAATTTTTAATTAACTACCGTTAAAAGATTTTTTTTACTTTGATTTATTTTTTAATTGCCGTGTTGTTCTACGTATATACGTACTTACAGAGACGTACCGAAACGGGACGTTAATAGGGAGTTTTCGTAGACCGCGCTGCCCCCTCCGCTAAGCGTTCCGCAACGAAGAAGTTGCTACTGCGCCTGCGCGCCGATAGCCTTGACTGTGGAGTTCCCGCTATCGTAGCGGGTTGCGGAGGGCCTTGCGGGACGGCGACAACGATCTACGAAAACTCCCTAATATTCCCCGTGGAGATTGCGTTCCGGGTTGAATGTTCTTTTGGGACTAGCCATTTGTAAAATGCCATGCTTGAGCCACTTGTTTTGTGGTGAGGTGCTATCTTAAACACACTTAAAGGGAACACAGGAGCGCACGGTATCATATATTATCAGAGCACCCTAACGTCCCGGCGCGCAAATGGAGCGCATGCGCATTGTTGCAACCGGGCGATGAGGAAGAAGAGAAGCGGCGGGAGCTCATGCATTTTGTAATTTTTATCAGTCTGAAAAACGAACAGTAAAGGAAAAGGTCGCACCGACCGATTTGTCTAGCGTAATTGCCTTCGTATTCCCTGGTTCCTCAACATATGGTGCCGAAACCCGGGAGTGTCCCGCATTACAAGGGCCCAAGCTACACGGCGGAGGGAATTTCAATCCTGCAGCTGCAACGGAATTCAGCAGTTCCTTGGCGGGAGCAGACCACTGGGAAAAGAACAGCGACGGAACCTTGGCAGGCGACCATACGGCCTCGTAGATACGAATAGTCAATGGAAAGGCTAAAGGCTAGGCGGTCGGCTCGGCGGGCACAGAACACTCGGATAATGAACGACGCCAATCGAATTCTACAGGATCCCAGCCCCGACCTAGCAAGAGTGCGTTCGATCAAGGACAGACTCACTACCAGCAATGCAGAGCTCCGACTACTTGACGGTGAGATAGAGCCGCTAATTCCAATCCAAGAACTGGAAAGTGAGTGCACCGCCACTGCAGAATACCAAGACGGAGCCGTCATGGTGATCAGCGAGTTGGAGACCAAGATTGAATCCCTACAATCGCAGAGAATAATAGCTTCGGCGGCGAGCACCGGAAACCAAACCGGCATTCAAGACAACGCAGCGAGACGTGGACCAAAGCTTCCGAAGCTGGAGCTATCTACCTTCGATGGAGAGCTAAGCAACTGGCTCACATTCTGGGAGCAGTTTGGTGGAGCCATGCATACCAATGCAACTTTAACAACCACAGATAAGTTCCACTACCTTCGTCGGTGTCTAACGGGAGATGCTGCTGCGGCGATTGCCGGGCTACCAACAACAGAAATATGCTATGCCGAAGCGATCACCATCTTGCAACAGAGGTTTGGAGACCAGAGGAGAATAGAACGGCAGCATCTGAATGCCCTCAGAAATCTACCGCACGTTGCTTCAGCTAATGACGTGAGAGGGTTGAGAAACCTGTATGACACCACGCAACTCAACGTTCGGTGTCTAAACTCTTTGAATGTTCCCACGTCAAGTTTTTCAGCCATGCTCTGTGACATTCTATCAACTGGAAGTTCATTGTGGAGGCCGCTCCATGGTGGGGCGGGTGGTGGGAGAGGCTCGTTCGATCTGTCAAGGCAGCACTTAAGAAAGTTTTAAGCAGAAGCAGCCTATGCTTCGAAGCACTGACGACTGTCCTTGCAGAGGTGGAAGCAATGGTAAACTCAAGACCACTGACATATCTCTACTCGGGAGTAGGAGAGCCATCAGTCATCACGCCAGCACATTTCTTAATAGGGCAAAGTTTGACAGTTCTACCAGAAACAAGCTTGTCTAACGACCGCCCAGGATGCGTGACACAGAAGGAAACAGCTCTCCAGTTCCAGTATCGAAAAATAATCATAGTACATTTTTTGGAAACGCTGGAGGTCTGAGTACCTGTTGGAGTTGCGGTCAGCTCATCAATATCCCGTCACCAATACTTGCTCCCTGAAAGTGGACGACGCAGTCATAGTGGAAAATAACCGAGCATCCAAGCTGTTCTGGGAACTGGGGAGAATCGTAGAGACGTACCCCGGAACTGACGGAATTGTTCGTGCCTGTCTCGTGAAACAGCAAAACGGTACGCTCATAAAGAGACCCGCGCAGAAACTTTATTTGCTGGAAATTCGTCCAAGTCAACTTCAGGCTCGGGAGGATGTTGCAACCGGGCGATGAGGAAGAAGAGAAGCGGCGGGAGCTCATGCATTTTGTAATTTTTATCAGTCTGAAAAACGAACAGTAAAGGAAAAGGTCGCACCGACCGATTTGTCTAGCGTAATTGCCTTCGTATTCCTTGGTTCCTCAACACGCATCCCACGTGTGGAGAGAAAACACCTTCATTGCGCGCTTAGCGTCATCGGGGCACTTGCGCGTCGTCTGCTACGCGCAATCGCCTCCTCCGCAGGTTGTCTGCTACACGCAGAATCTCGCGTGGAGGCTCTGGGATAAAACTGCGTGCAGATAGAATTATGCTCCCAAAGCCATGCAATGAGCATGTAAATGTTTTTGATAATACGCAACAGTGGCGCATACGTTTTTAATCTCTTATCTTTGATTAAAAGGATAAAAGAAATGAGTTTTTTTTTTTCTAACATATGATGCGGTTGAGAAAGGTATACACTTGTTGGCCCTTGCAATGCTACATGTCTGAAGGATTGCAGCTCGTTGCCATGGCCAGAGTTCCGGAAGCGGACAAATGTAAAATAATTATGCTTGCCCAGAAAGGGCACTCGCAGCGTGCAATTGGAGCTTTTGTTAATATACCTTTTAAGACGGCTAAGTTCATTGGCGTGTGTGTGCGTGTTTGCGCGTGCGCGTGCGTGCGTGCGTGCGTGCGTGCGTGCGTGTGTGCCTATGTGTATGTGTGTGTGTGTTTATACGACGGGAAGGTAGCCCCGACTGGCGTTTGGTGTATCAGCTGTGGATGGAAAATTTAGTCAATGCTGCACAACGGCTTGCCTGGGGTTTTTAACGTGCACCACGCAGTAGTGACACACGACTGCACGCCGGTGCGATGCTCATCCAGATCAAAACAGGCGGGGGTGGGGATTGAGCACAGGATCTTTGGGTTCTGAGCGCGAGCCTTCCCTCCCCGTGCTCCGAGCTGGTGTGCGCAAGACCACTCGGCCCCCGGTTAACCGCATCGTTCAAGCTTTTCTCTGTGTAGGTCGGGTTCGCGACACACCTTGAGGCAGTGCACCAAAAGGGACGACCGAGGTTGAAGACCCTTTCATCGTCACCACTACCGTCTAGGAAAGCTTTTTTTTTTTTTGGCCAGCGAAATTCGGGAGCACCTTGAATTGGACCTCTGAGACGCAAGAGTTCGTCACAGGTTAGGGAGTCCCGGTCTCCATAGGGCCATGGCAGCGCAGAAGTACATAGCTTCAAGAAATAGGTGAGGCTTCTTTTTGCAACTGGGTACGTGTCGCGACCGGCGGATGATTGGGGCCGGGTTGTCTTCTCGGATGAGTCCACGTTCTCCACGAAGCAGGATCAATCAGTATGTGCAGCGGTCTTGCTTCCCACGCTAAGTTTTGCTTCAGTAGACTAGCTATTTTGAATCTTGTAAATTATTTTTATTGCGGAATGTTTCGTCCTTCGTTGGCGTTCTCTCTAAGCACTCGTAAGTTTCTGAGCTCGTCGCCGAAAGCGGGAATACATTCATCAATGTTTGGGCGCCATTTCCAAACACGGCCTCGCTCCTCTGCGCCGTATTGTTGAGAGGCTGACGTCGACCCGATCCTGCGACGTGGTGGAC